CCACAGTGTTTAGTGTTTTTCAACCTGATCAATTCTCAGAAAATATATGTAATATACTGTATTTATATAAATGAGCATACATGTTCTTCTGGAGAGAAATTGCATAGCTTTTAAGAGATTCTCATAGGGGAACATGATCACACCTCTCTAGTGGTTACTATGATCAAATTAGATGAAAGAGACATCAACAAGACAATTTTAAATTACGAAGCATATAGAGAAAATATAAGCCAATTTTTTTGACATGATAGATTTGTAATGATAAGCTTTCCATTAAGTGTTATTTGAGTATTAATGGACATTAGACTTTCTTGTATTTGACTCCTGTTTTCAATGAAAATTAATTGACAGTATATATATTTCTATGCAAAGCAAAAGCCATAAGTGAATAACTGCAGAAGAATTTTAAAAAATATTAATTACTGTGAAAAATGACTATTTACTAGTTGAAATAAGTGTTCTCTCTGTTGCAGTTATTATCTTTGTATCTCCAACTACCACAATGCCTGACTTATAATAGGAACTCAACAAACATTTGCTTAACTGAGGTGAATTCTGACATATAGTCAGATGCGATGTAGACCTCACATAATTTTATTTTTTATTTATTTATTTTTTGATGACATGGAGTTAATATTTTTATTCTCCCAGGACAAAGAGAAAAGATGGTTATCCTATACAGATTTTTGCCTTACTGAACATTGTCACATACCTTTAATATGCTGTATGCTAGCAAGACCTCAACAGACTGCAGGAAGCCAGCACGAGATATTACTACTACATAACTAATGCCGCCTAGTCAATGTCAACACACTCTTCTAACTTTTCTCTGCATAAAAAGCTGCATAAAAGTCCAGTTAAGGTGAATAATATTTAAGAGGTATACCCTACGATCTCCCTAGTACATTTTCAGGTCCTTATTGTGTTCCGTATATTATGAGATACCAGCTGTGATGAATTGCACTGTGGCCGCCATATTATTATAGCTGCAGACAGTAGAAATCTCAGCCAAGTAGCCTTGGTGAATCCAGTCACCAAACCAACAATAGCCTCCCAATGTCTCCTGGGTATCCTCATATGTCATCCATGGGATCTCAAATTACAGCTGTTGAGAACAAATTAGTAGTTTTTAAAATTGAAATTGGAACACACTTTTGCATAACAATCAGTCTTTGAGTTAATTATATAGTACAATACATGTTTTAATCCATTTTTCCCCCAGTCATTTTAGTAGCTTTAAGACCAAAGGCCCAGGTCATGGTGTAAGTGAACTACTGGACACCGTGGGTTATTTCTGCACACGCATATTATTTTAAACCGTGTTTTATGTTTATCTTCACAATTTGGGGTTCAAATAACAAAACCGAAGAATTGTTTCCCCTTCTTACTCCTTACTTCATTAATAAGCTCGGATGAACAGCCACAGCTAATGGAAATGGCCCTCTTGTTCTGAATAGAGTTTAATGTGGATTCTTAATCTCTCTCTGTTTACTGCTAATCAATTGCTCATTAGAGCCCATCAAACCTCCTTGTCATCCTTGAATTGCATTAAATGCATTTGGCCCTTTGCCACGGAAATTTGTACATGTGACAAAATAATGAACAGAAGCAGTTATTTTTTTAATCACACTGATTAAACCCTTGACTGCATAGCCACAGACGATATTTCTGTAACTGTAATTATGTAAACGGGCAACCTTTCCACTTCACTCATGCAATTTCAAACCGTGGCAGCTCAGTTATGGTTTCTTCCTCAAGTTATACAATGAATGCCTGTATTTCTTTGGGAGGCAATGTTCACTCCATTGCATTAAAACTCAACTTGTGCATCAAATTATTAAGAATACAGCACATCACATTCATGTCTATTTTCTGATGGTGATTTATAACATTTACAGGTGCAAACCTTATTTGAAGTTTATAGAATTTTTTTTTTTTTTTTTTAATTCAGAGAAAGAGTAAAGACACCATTGGGGCAATAGCATTTATCTATCTGTCTGTCTCTCCATCTGTCCACCCATCCATCTATCTTCCAAATCTGGAAGCAGGGGATACTAAAGAAATGTAAATCACATACAGTAGCCACATAAGAGGCAAACAAAATAAAAGTGCTGTCAAGAATTCTTCTGCTTAGTCCGTGTAAATCTGAAGAGAAGTTATATCTCTGCTATGTTAAAGATGGTTCGTTTTATGCAGGATTGATATCTTATCATGATATTGATGTTGTGTAGACAACAATGCAATGGAAGATTTAATAAAACGTAAGGGTTGCAAGAGCATGCAGAGATTTAACTGGTGGGTTTGTGGTGTGGTCCTGGCCAGAAGGCAGGACTGGGACACTGTACCTAAAATAGAGCCGAGATAGTCAGCAAGCCCAACGAAGACTTGACAGGATGGTCACTGACATGGTGACTAAGGGTGGTCATTTAGAGGATCATGAATATGGCCATATCTGTGACTTATCGTGAAGTTTAGGAGGACTCACAGTACATCAGACCTATTCTTGTGGATGGAGTGGGGTCGGGGAGGGAGCCAGCAAAGTCTGCTACCTTGAGAAGCAAGTGCCCAGAAGCTAATACAACTTGGAAAATCCCAGTGGTCGGTACTGGGTGGGGAAAATGAACTAAGCCGATGTGAGTGTGCAAAGTGGAAGGCATAACAGGAGATGCAGGATTTCTAGTCTTGATGGGAGATTGGTCTCTCAGGCAGCATAAATGCACTGAGGGAAAGAAGGAAACGTGAAGGCTGATAAGAGCAGATATCATCACAGCTGCGGTAACGGCAGCCAAAATGAAGGCAGGGTACCTTGTATGGGGGAATCTGGAGTTAAATAGCAGCATCTTCTATTTCTGCAGATATTACCCCCTGGTTAGGACAAGCTCAGAGCTCAAGGGACGGGCAGAGAAGAGGGTTTAACTAGCCTCAGGTATCTACCTATCTGTCTACCAGATTCCTAGTGAAGAGGGATTTAGGGCTACCTAAACAGCAGCCCCCAATAGCAGAGATCTTGATTTGGACCTCAGCAGAAACTACATTAATAGGGTCTGTTAGGCCAACCAAGACAATGACCCATGTTCTGCAGTCTGTCCATGCTTCTGGATACAGCTAGGTAACACAAAAAACATGGAGCTCTGCTGGATTAGGGACCAAGGGATCCAGGTACACTTATTCCTAAAACAATTATTGCGTGTCCACAACCTGCCAGACTCTGTGTGAAGTGCTGACGGTGTGGTGAATAAATACAATAAGATCTGATCCTGACCCTTAAGAAATGTCATGATCTAGTGAGCAAAACAAGACATGTCAAGAAGGAAGCAGACTGAACAGATTGCTGAGGGAGTTCAGAAGAGGAATTGCCAAGTTCTCCTTGGGGGCATCAATAAAGGTGTTTCAAAGGAGCTCACTGGATCTTGAGGGATGAAAAGGAGTCTGACAGTGTTAGAGGAAGGGTATTCAAAAAAGGAAAGACTCGTGAATATATCAGGGGTGGGAAAAGGCAGGGTCTGTTTTGGAAATGACAACACGTTTCTTGTGGCTGGAGTACAGGATAGACCTGGTGGAGGATGAACAGGGGAAGCTGGAAAGGTAGCCTGGGCACGGAGTTCCAAGATAGGGAACTTATCCTGGTAAATATGAGATAAGAAGAAGAGAAAGGAAAGATGGAGCACATTGGAGATTGAGGGGAATGGATGCTCAAAAGAGTCGTCGTTCTGGAGAATGGAGATGGAAGCTGATTAAAGATAGTGATGCTTTAAATTCAACTCTATTAATTAGAATCATTGCGTGAATTATTTATATGCTTTGAGACTACTTTCCTTCATCAATAGCATTAGGAACTTGGACCAGGTGGTTTATGGGTTTGTTCCAGCTACACACATGTTGAGATTAAGGGAAAACACTTCAATTAATAGATGGAGAAATTAAAGCTCAGGGGTCATTAGTGTCCAAAATCAGAAGCTTGAGACTGGTGGAGCTGCAATTCAAACCTATATCTAAACACTCCAATTCCTGAACTTACTTCACCAAGGTGCTGTTAAATCATCACCTGTGTTTCCCCCGACATTACTCTTATCTTTTACATTCATAATCTCTACTTGGTCAAGCAAATTCCTTGGTTGTAACAAATAACACAGTCTTTCTCTCTGTGGTATATCTGGTTTAATTCAATAATCTAGAGGCACAGAAAAATGCAAAATGCACTGAGAAAGAAATTCCAGAAAGCAAGAAACTGGAAGTGATGGATAAGAAACCTGGTGACATCATTAACTTGCCTGTCTCTCACCTGCCGCATCAGATCAGTCACTGTAAGTCACTGACTCCATCTACCAAATGCCTCATGTAGATGTCCTCTCTTTCTTGTTCTTTCCATTGTTCCTTCCTGCCTGGACTATCACCTAAGGCTTCT